TCTCTCTCTCTCCCTCCCTCTCCTCTATTTCCCTTTCACTTGTTTTTTTTCTCTTTTTCATTATATTTTCAATGCCACAGCTAAACCATCAACCGTTTCTATAAAAACACCCACCCACCTATTTTATCTATCTATCTATCTATCTATCTATCTATCTATCTATCTACCTATCTATCTATCTATCTATCTATCTATCTATCTATCTATTATCTATCTATCTATCTATCTATCTATCTATCTATCTATCTATTTCTCCTATTCTCCTATCTTATGTGTTTCCCCAAGCACTGATATCATTTTATTTTCACTGTCTTTAGTGTCTGTCCAGCATTCACAGCCATATAGAAGGGTTGACCAAACATAGCATTTCAGGACTTTCATTTTGGTGTTCATTGAGATGTTTCTATTTTTCAGGATTGGGCTCATTTTATTGAAACTAGCCATGGCCATTGTAACTCTCCTTTTTATTTCTGTGCAACAATTGGCATCAGATGTTATCATATATCCAAGATATTTAAACTGTTGGACTGGTTTGATCTTTTCACCTTTGCTAATGAGATTACAACTAAGATTTGCTGTTTTTTTTATATTACCATGCATTCTGTTTTCTTTACATTCAACAATAATCATTTACGTTCACTTTCTGTTACAACAGTATCTAGAAGCAATTGAAGGTCCTTTTCGGAGCCTGCTATTAAAACTGTGTCATCTGCATACCTGATGTTATTAATATTTTCTCCATATACTTTGAGGCCTGGACATTCTTCTATGTGTCTAAGGATTGTTTCACTGTACATGTTAAAGAGGTCTGGTGACATGACACATCCTTGCCTCACTCCTCGCCTAATCTGCTTATATTCACTGAATTATCCATTAATTCGCACAGCAGCGTTTTGATCCCAGTATAAATTTCTAAAAATTCTTAGATCTTTTCCATCTATGTCTAGCTTTTCCAGTATTTTAAATAGCTCATCATGTCTAACTTTATCGAACGCATTTGAATAATCTATGAAGCATAAATACAGATCTTTCTGTTCTTCAAAACATCTTTCCATTAACATGACCTTCTAATTTTTTCCATCCCTCAAGATTTATTGCTTCTTTCCAGTAGAGTGTAAAATATATAGTAGGCCAATGACTTTCAGTTGATGTTAATGCATGCCCGGGTTACTCCTACTTCTGCTGCCTAGCACGGGGCGTGGATTTCGCGATTGCCAGGGTCCTCGTTCTACTCACCGCCGTCTGCTCCTCGCGACCGCTAGCTGCACACTGCTGAGGAGGGGGGGGGGGGGGGGTCTCGGTTGTTTGATGAACTTCTTTTTATGAACCACGACCAGCAGGCTATTGAAGAGACTCCTCGCTCTGTCCATCCTATCTTCCTTGGCTATAACAGTCTACTTTGCCTTCAAGCACCCAGTAACACCGTGTAACCCTAGGGCTGAGACATCGCTAGAAATTTCTTTCGTGTCTCAGGACCCAATGATGGCTATACCTGTTGAGCAAACGTCCCAAGGGGTAGATACTGTTGAGAAAAAGGATGAAGAGGTGGATAATGTGGATACAAAAGCTACAAGTTATGAGTTTCATTAATTTTTCTGCGTAGTACTGTGTTAGCACTATATTCACACCAGAAAGTAGGCTATTGCTAGACATATTAGCGGG